CCACGGAACCAGGGGCCGATACACTTCACCTCGCTTATGAGAACAGGAATTTAGTGCCTGCTGGAGTGGATTATAGCACTGGCACGTGATGCGAGAAGATTCGGGCAGAATTTTCTGTATAGTTTCTCCATTTATGGTCTGATACTCATACTTTGCCACTGCATCGTGACATAAATAATATTTCTTTCCTGCACAGATCCAGGCTTCGCTTTTTTCAAAAAGTCATTGTTTTCCGATGGCAACAGTCACTGTTTCCCTCTTTCATTTCCAGTCTGAATGTGTGCAAGCAGGATATTCAAGGAGTGGAATTTAATCTCTTTCACATTTCAAACTTCTTTCCAGCAGTATTTCGGTAGGCATTCATCAGGACTGAGTGCACTCGGCTCGTTCTGTGCAATCCCTGCATTTACACTCCTGGCCAATGCCGATCTATCATCTCCCATCGATATCTCTGGATCTGTTACAACTGAAAGGATGGAACTACGCAGGCATCTTAGTATGTGAGGATGGGAAACATTCGACTTCACCAATGATTTCTAAGTTCAGCGCAAATCAAGACCATCTCCATCCACATATTTGCGGAATCAGGTACCAATAAATAATTGTCTTTCATACATGCCCTTATTACATCTTTAGAACCTTTTTCCACACACCTGCTCCCCACTATCTCTTTTCACATCTTGTTTTCTTGGTCTTTCCTTTCATTCTTCATCTCTTTCATTTCATCTGTTAACGCCATACCAATATATTCTTTTCATCCGTCCTTTCTTGTCCAAATTCAGCATTGAAATCTTCCAGAACAACCATGACTGCATAAAGGATTTTGCCAAAAAACTCGAAAACAAGCAATTTATCGAGGCTGGGAGTGGCAAGGAGTAGTAGCGCATCAAAACACGGAAGTTCCGACAGGTCATATCATATCGAGGTGATAGTGGGTCGCACTTTGTCAGGCCAAGCCTGAGTAATACAAATCAGTGTCACCACACCAGCAACTGGTGATTTCCTTAAGGACAAACAACTATGTGCGTAAAACGCAAAATAAAACTTATATGAGAAACAGCAAGAATGAAGCAACATAAGAACGTGCACACTCTTGCGCACTTTTCGGTTCGGTCAATAGCGCGAATTAACAAGCCGGCCAGAAACTACTAAGAATCCCGGGCAGCTGAAGGATGCCGCCACAGAACGCTTAGATATTGGGAAGGGAGATGGAAGGAGAGGGAGGAAACAAACTTAAAAACATCTCAAGAAATCTAAAAAACATCAGAAGATTGTCGAAAGGCAGCCTTGGTGTGAGTGTTAAAATAAGAGAAATGGTTCAGCACACTGAAGTCTTGCAAGGAAAATAAAACGATTATGGTCGGTATGGAAAAAAGACAGAAAACTATTCAGGAGTCAGATTTATTGTTAGCAAGAATCGATCTTCGTAAACCATCTCCCGTCAATTTCACTCGTCGCAAATTGGCACATTCCCTTTCAGGCCACCCGTCATATCTTGTACAAATTCACAGCATACTCAGAAAGGATAGTGCGATTCTATGTTGAGTTCGAATATTTGAATTAGTAACTTGAAACACTTGTCGTATAAGATCAGAAACATCGCCCCAGGCTGTTTCAGCAAGTAAGTTATTAAATTTCACGAAGTCTGTGAAATGCAGTTTCATTTCTCCGAAAGGCTGTTGCATTTCAAACATAAGCACAACACATTAGTGATCTGAATTTGAATCATTTCTCATGTATATGCAAAACCTTTGGTATCCACTCTTTGGAAAGTAAAGAATTTAAAACTGGAACGGCTGAAATAAGTGGAAGAAAAAGCTCTTTTTGAAAAATCACCGGAGTCACTTTTTAACTGCAATCGGTAGATCCAGTTGATAAGCTCCTGTCTTTTATCCTCGTCCACTTCCTCTTCCAGCTTGCCCAGAACATCAAGCGTTGATAAAGTAAAGAAAAGAATTGTTGCCCTGTAAAGAAACTTCGTCTCCAAGGTTAGCCTTTTACAATCTCTAAAGCTTAGCATTTTTATTAAAACACAATTTTTGAACTTACAAAACTCAACCACTTTTTCCTCCGCTGTTCTTCCTCCTAAATAACTCTCATTTGAACTGCCGCTAGCCTAAAAATTTCTGCAGCCGACAAAGAACCGAATGGGGGTACTGAAGAAGATGAACAGCTTAGTATTTACATCAAATAGCACACTGTGGAGATATGCACGATCTGTAATATAATCGATATAAGATGTCCCAGCTCACTAGGTTGTCCAGTAACAAACAAATCAGAATAAATACAAAATGGTTGAGGTGGAATTTCCTGATGTACTACGTCGGACAACAAAATAATTGGCCAACGCACGGGCTGCCCGTGCGAAGATGCGTTTTTTGCAGAGTTCCCCGCAG